TACTTTCTCTCAAGACAGAGCTAACTTAATTCTCATTTTCTTTTTTTTCAGGCAAGATTCCTCTGCTAAGAGAAAGAAAACTACCTGTGGTAGGAATTGGAAAGCATCTGTGTGGTGTGGCAACAGGTATGTAAACAATAGTGTCTACATTGACACATTAAGTTTTGACTTAACCTGGCTTCAACCATTTCAGTGGTCTCTTTTGAATTCAGTGGTCTTTTATAGATTGCTTCTGTTTACAACTCATTAGTCTTCATAGCACTGGTCCTATGTTATATCAAATACAGAGCTTTCCTATTTATCTTCTCATTTTGGCCATTTTGCAGAATGATATAAGAGTTTTGTGTGTAAATACTGTGTCATATTGGCCTTAAAGTGCTTTGGAGTATATTTCAATCAAAAAAAGGAAACAAACAAAAAAACAAAAGGAAACAGGCCGGGCGCGGTGGCTCACGCCTGTAATCCTAGCACTTTGGGAGGCCGAGGCGGCGGATTGCTCAAGGTCAGGAGTTCAAAACCAGCCTGAGCGAGACCCCATCTCTACCAAAAATAGAAAGAAAATTAATTGGCCAATTAAAATACATAGAAAAAAGTATTAGCTTGGCATGGTGGTACATGCCTATAGTCCCAGCTACTCGGGAGGCTGAGGCAAGAAGATCGCTTGAGCCCAGGAGTTTGAGGTTGCTGTGAGCTAGGCTAATGCCTCGGCACTCTAGCTGGGGCAACAGAGTGAGACTCTGTCTCAAAAAAAAAAAAAAAAAACCATAACAAAAAATCTAGGCCAGGTATAGTGGCTCGTGCTTGTAATCCAAGCACTTTGGGAGGCCAAGGCAGGAGGATTGTTTGAGGCCAGGAGTTTGAGAACATCCTAGGCAACATAGCTAGACTCTATCTCTACAAAAAATTTTAAAAAATTATTTTTTAATCTGAGCTGTCTTGTCATAGCACTTCTGTTCATCAGATCTAGCATGGTAAAATGGAAACAGCATGTGCTTTGGAATTAGATTGTCTAGCCTTCAGCTCTGTTGCAGAACCTTGGCAAATTACTTAACCTTTCTGAGGTTTGGTTACCTCATCTGTAAAACAGGGATACTAATATAATTTACCTGACTACGTGTAAGGTGTCTGGCACATATTAGTGTTCCATAAATGTTAACTATTGTTATGTCATCTTCCTGGCTCCTGCTAGTTTTACCATCTACCCATTATGGGGAACTTGGAGCCTCTGTAAAACGTTATTCAAATTGGATAGAAATAGCTTTAAGTACTTTATATTTGTGGTGGCCTTCAAAGCTTTCAGACTACAGTCCTGTACTGCATGACATTTTAGTCCACAATGGACTGCATATACAACGGTGGTTCCATCAGATTATAATACCGTATTTGTACTATAACTTTTCTGTTTAGATATACAAATACTTACCATTGTATTACAGTTGCCTGCAATATTTACTACAGTAACATCCTGTATAGGTTTGTAGCCTAGGAGCAATAGGCTATACCTTATAGCCTAGCTATAGGTAGTAGGCTATAACCTCTAGGTTTGTGTAAGTATTGTATACTTTGTGATGTTTGCATAAGAATGAAATCACTTTTAACAACACATTTCTTAGAACATATCCCCATTGTTAAGCAACACATAACTGTATTTTCACGTACCTTATCTTATCAAAAGCCTTCTGAAATAAACCAATTCCATTGTGGGGTGAGGGGAGGACATTCCTTTGACTCCTCCCATCTAATCCAAATTTCTCAAAAATATAACCTCCAGTAACCATGTCTCATGTTCTGCATGCTTTTTCCCCTTTGGTTTGCTCTATCTGAATGCTCCCTACATCTCCGCTGCAGTTGCTTACCCTTTTTGAAATTCTGTTTCCTTCTCTTTTGTGACACTCTTTTTTCCTGGTTCTTCCCCTACATCTATGCCATTCTTTCTGTTTCTTTTATAGTGTCCTTCCACTACCTGTCTTTTAAATATTAGTATTCAGACCCATCTCCTACACATCTAATGTGTTTCTCCTTTAAACTCTTTAGTACCTCCCAATGACCTGCAGAATAAAGTCCAAGCTCTTTGACATAACATCCTATTCTCAATCTGGCTTCTGCCTTCCTCTCTTAGCCATTCCTTCTCTCCATCTTTACTGGTCAGCAACATCAAACTCTGTGTACTTTTCCATTATACCATATTGCTTCTTCTCTACCTGGAATTCCACCACACACACCCACTTACCCAAACAGAACAACTGGTGAATTTCTACTCATCCTTCAGCTCTGTTGTCACCACTCTTAAGGAACCTCCTTAAATAAGATATGCTTTTAGTATTATCATAATACCCTCTGCATATCTTTAGCTTGTTGTATTTTAGTTATCTGTTTATATATATAATTCTCCCACTATGCTATAAATTTTTTTGTCTCCATCTTTACTGTTCAACAACATCAAACCCTGTGTACTTTCTCTGAGCATATATATATGCTAGTACAATGCTTGGTATATCACAGGAACTCCGTACATGTTGGAATGAATGAATAATCTTGGCCACCAGTTTGCTGTGTTTCCTTGTCCCTCTCTAGCTATGTGACTTTGTCACTTAAAGATGTAGAGATAAATTGCTAAAGCTACATCTAATTCTGAAATAACTTAATTCTTTTAATAATTTTTCTGGTTATTTACATGTCTTAAGTCAAATATGAATAAAACAGTGTCTATATATATTTTGTCAGAAAATAATAGTTTATGAAATAATAGATTAGCTATCAATTTCTCCAAATAGGTTTCTGATGTTTATTGAATTAAATTCATATGTTGAATTAAGTTTACTAGTAAAATATTAGATCATTTTGTGACTTGGGGTCATAAAATTTTAAAATATATATACTGTTTTTGATCGGACAGACACAAAATGGCAATCTAATCAGAAAATGTTTATTTTACATTTAGGGTCTTTCCAATATTGTCAACAGTATAGTGATTTTCAATGGGAAGCAGCCACAGTCATCAAAAAATTCATTTATTTAGGCCGGGCATGGTGGCTCACACCTGTAATCCTAGCACTTTGGGAGGGTGAGGCGGGAGGATTACTTGAGGTCAGGAGTTCGAGACCAGCCTGAGCAAGAGCGAGACCCCATCTGTACTAAAAATAGAAAGAAATTATATGGACAACTAAAAATATATAGAGAAAAAATTACCCAGGCATGGTGGTACACGCCTGTAGTCCCAGCTACTTGGGAGGCTGAGACAGAAAAATTGTTTAAGCCCAGGACTTTGAGGTTGCCATGAGCTAGGCTGACGCCATGGCACTCTAGCCAGGGCAACAGCGTGAGATTCTGTCTCAAAAAAAAAAAAAAAATTATTTTTTAGTTTTAAAATGTACAAAATTTTTTCATTTTAATATGTAGTACACCCACTTCTAAATTTATATTAATCATCATTACATCCTTAATGCTTTGCACATGAAAGGCATTCAGTAAATGTTTGCTGAATGAATTGTAAATCCAGTAAGGCTACTCAGTGAGGCCTACTTCCACATTCTGACACCTTTTTTCCACTCTGGTTCATCACTATTTGCTGTGAACATCTTATATTTCAAGTCTGTCTTCTTGACGTAGCATCAGCCTAACCTGAACTGCCTTTTTAAACTTCTTTCTTTGTGTTTCTTAAGCTGGTATTTAAGTGTAGGTGAATAAATTCTTTCTATACAAGTCCTTTCCTCAGCTAGCATAAGAGAAATGAGAGATAATTCAAGTAGTTACTAAAAGTTTTTCATATTGTAATCTTGAGCTTCAGACACTTTTATTGGAAAGTAGGCTTTATGCAGAATAAATCATTAGAGAAATTGAGAGGATAGTAAAAAAAGGGCAAATTTAAACAAAGTTGATAATTCGTGGTAGAATTATTACAAGTATAAAGCTAAGTCGGTTTTTATTGTTTTTGTTGTTAGGTTTTAAAAAACCATACTGTGTAATAAATGTAAAAAAATATTTATTTTTAAAGATGATGTGGTTTGGGGGGGCACGTAATTGTGTTTGCAGATCTTGCATTACGGTGTTTGGTTGAAACCTATGCTGCCAGTTGTGAGGAAAGAAATGAAGAACCTTTAGCCAAACGCATAAAGAATGATAAAACAGAAAAAGAAATTAACACTTTGGCCAAGGAAGGAAATGAAAAAAATGTCCCAGAGAAGTGGACCCCTGTGGCTGGCATTGTTATTGCACTCTGTTGTCACCACAGGTGTGATTGGAGACATTATGTGGGCAAAGAATATTTCAGGGCTCTAGGCCTTGGAGCAGTGGAATTTCACTATTTCCAGCGAATGAGTAGTTGGGCGACTTGTGGGATGCGGAAAACATCTTTAGAAGCCTCAAATATTACCTCGAAGAGGAAAGATAATCAGAATGATGATAGTGAAGAACATGATGATGGAGGATATGGAATCACAGATGACAGCACTAATAGTTTGCCTGGGTAAGTGACTACTTTTGTAATGCCCAACACTAAAGGAGAAATATTGTTGCTGTACTTTCTTTTTAAATGACTGTTACCAACAATTTTGTTGTGGAAATGTATTTTACAATCTTATTTTAGAATAAGTTAAAATATACACATTTTTATTGTAGTCATAAATAAAATGTGTCTTGGAAGCATGGGACATAGCACCTAGTATTAGTGTATTATGGTTTATTTAGTAGTCTCTCAATAACTATAAGTAACTAAAATAATTTTTTATAAATGTTTATAAATTTTAATAATGTTTTGTGTGTGTTTATTTGATTTAGGCTTCTTACTATTGAAGAAAAGAAGAAAATAGGGCATCTTTGTAAATTGCTGATTGACCAAGGTCGAATCCAGTATTTGCAGCAGAAGGGATTCAGTCCTGCCTTACAATACTATACAGACCCTCAGGTGTCTTTGGAAAATGTATTGTTAACTGCTTTACCAAATCATTCTTCATCACCAGAAACAACTGCTTAATGGAAAAGAAATTTGAACATTATCTGTCTTCCACCAAAAAAAGTTTTTAATTATATTTTTATATTCACAAAAATATAATTTCAATAGCAGATAATATGAACTTTAAAAGATGCTTTGGCCTCATTAAACTTTTGGTAATAGCTTTGTATTTTACTTCAGAGGTCCAAACATTAGAAAATTCACCAAATTCCTGAAGTAATCCTCTTCAGCAGGGCATCTTGAATTATATTATCCATCTGTATTTGTAGAGATTGGTAAAGTAGTTGAACAGTTGACTTGGTGATCTGAAACACACATAATACATCAACATGTAATTAGCATATTAACTTTGTATTAATTTGGAAATTCTTTTGATATTAATATTTCTTATTTCTGAAGTTCAAAATGTAATGATTAATTGTCAGTTTGTAACAAGGGCTAATCTGAGAATTTGGCTTACGTGTGGATTTTTTTCCATGCAGATCTGGCAAGGACAATTGTAACTTTCTCATATGCAAACAAATTCAGAGATGTTCACAATCAATGAAATCACCTTAAGATTTCAAGAGCCATACCTGTATTTATATATATTATCAGAATTTATCCATGACAAAAGTGAGATGTTTTCAAAGAAAAAAAGACTATTTCACTTCATTTTTTGTTGCCTAATTACCTATTTAGAACTTCCACAAAGATACTTATAATTCACAAATTAAATTTAAAATGTACAAATAACTTTGGAATTAAGTATCTCATATCTTTTATCAGGTCATCTTTTACATATATGAGTACAAACAATAAGTGTGTTTGTTTCATACTTATTGTTTGGGAGAATAATTTGGAATAAAGTGAAAATTAGATAATGAAACCAAAAACCTTCTCACATTTAAGCCTTATTCAACTCATGAGTGGTTTCTATGCACAAACAATTATTAAACCAAACATACAGTAGACTGTTACTCTCTTCCACATCTTATTCGTGTTTTGTTTCTGCCTTTATTTGTAAAAATTGTCTTAATTGCTGATAGATTTGCCAAGACAAAGATCCAGAATTACAAATTTTAGATATAATGGTATTCTGGGGTAATTATTTTTATCCTATAGGTATAGATTACACAAATTGTAAATAAGAAGCCTAACCCATTTTTAATTCCTGAGTAGTTTAATCTTTTATGTCTCAAACTGAGACATATGAGTTTAATCTCAAACTGCCTCAATTCAGATTTCAACTCTACCACTTCTCAGTTGTGTGACCTTGGGCATGCCATGTAATCTCTTTGTGCCTCAATTTCCTCCTCTTAAAATGAGGATGAGGATAACAATAATGCCTACCTCACAAGGTTGTGAGCATCAAGTGAGATAACACAAATAAAATGCTTAGAATGGTTCCAAGCACAAAGTAAGTAGTCAGTAAATATTAGCTAATAGTAGCAGTGGTAGTAATTCATGAATCTATTTTTAATAACATAATAGGCAGGCTTTGATTTTATTATCACTTTAAGTTTGTTAATGTTTTTCTCTTGTTACAAAAGTTTTTATGTCAATTTTATTAAGGTAGTTTTATTATTTTTTAAGTTAGTTACTCATGCCCCCTTGCAATAGAACATAAATGAAGATAATACACCATTCAATAATTAACCTTATTTTATTGTATCAATGCTAATTTGTGTCAATAAATTTGTTTTGCATCATTCAACAATTTGTGCCCAGAAATAAAATATATTCTACAACAACATTCTTGTAATGGCTGCTTCCTGGAGTAATAGGCTGTGTCACATGGAACCTCTTAGCCTTAACATCCGGAGCTCTAGGAAGGGAAAATTTCAAGTCAGATAGAATTATATATATACACCGTTTCTTTGGAAACTTCAGCCCTCAAGATCCCAACCTCATGACATCAGTTTCAATACAATTGCTCTTAATCCTCATTTCACTGCTTTTTTGGTACTGCCTGTTGAAGCAGTGGAAGCCAGAGATGCAATCACTCTCTCGTTAGGTGTGGTTCTCAGCATTACAGGAACCTGTGCTTGCTTGGGGGTATATGCAGGGAAGAGAAATGGACAGATGTGACTTTGAAGGACCTCCCAAGTCAAACCTCGCCCTAAAAACCTTTGTGCTGTTGAGGCTAAACCTGAGCTTTAGTGTCTAAAAGTTTCTAAGAAACAGTAAATAGAGTTAATTCTTAGTTGTTTTTCCTAAAATGGAAACCAATTGTTATATAAATGGGAAAAAATGTTTTTTCTACAACAAGTAATGCACTGAAAAATGCAGCCTATAATTGTATTCACTGGTTAGAAAGGGGGTCAAAGAAGATGGCTGAAATTTACATAAGTAATATTTCATACCTTCTCAATTTTCAAAACACATGAAATAGGAAGAAAGAAACTCTTGCTCAGAATCCTAGGAAATTATCAATGTTCATTTATAATCACTGCCTCCTGAATTGTTGAGGAGTCTTTTCTCCATATTTTATTACATTTTTGTTTTATCTCCCAAGTTAATATTGTATTTAGATATCAAATGGCCAAAAATTGAAACTTTCATCTTTGGGGAAAAAAATTTAGAAAAAATATATTCAGTGTATCCAATACTGAAAGGAGAAAAGATTTAAAGTAAAAAAAAAAAAAAATTAATTAACTGAATAACATCCCCATGGTGAGAAGTACTGTGTTAAAAATAAACCCATGATGTTGTAAAAAATAAGAAAATATGTACAACAGGCACAATCTAATCTCAGCTATGTTTGATAAAACACACACACTCAAGAATTATCATACTGGTACACTCCTGTGGCCCATTTACCTTAATGATATGTTTCTGACCATGGTTCCAAGTACCACCATATGGGAAGATAAGCTTGCCCTTCAACATGCCAGCTTAGGTCATGGTTATTGTTTTTCCAACCTTATTTATCCTCACATATCATGAGAAAGTGACTGTGTGGGATATGCATTTAGCTATTTCTTGACCAGAATTTGCAACCTCAGCAAACCCCTTGAACTTTAGATGTATCTACACAATTAGTGTGGCTTGCATGTCCCACAGGTGCATCAAATACACTGTTAAAATTGGAAATCTTCCATTTTACCACCTGATTCTGCTCACCAAACCAGCTTCGGTACTTTTCTCCAGCTTAGCACTACCATCCATGTAGTTAAACCAAAACTGAGATTCATTTTAAACTGCCCCCTTTTCTCATCTTCATTCAATCATCAATTCTGTCTCCTACTTTTATATATTTATAATTTGCTTTCCAAAACTAGGCCCCAAATGATCACAACTTTTTTACCTGCCTTCCCCCAACCTGTCCCCCAAGCTCTTGCGTCTATGACCTTGCTACAATAGATGTAACCACCATTTCCAAAACATCCTCCACTGAATGTCTTCTTGCTAAAAAACTCACTGTCTGCTCAGATTTTTCCCATTTTTCAAACTATTTGCTGCATTGAGTTGAACCTACCTTTTAAGTCAAAAAGGTTACACATATAGCAAAAGGTTATTCACATTTTAGTGAATTATAAAACCATGATTCCTATTAATATCCTAGTGTTTCTTTGTTTTTTATTCACAGAAAGGCTTTCTTTCCTTAATTAAAAAAAAGTTTAATTCAAAATTATCAGAGACCGATTGGAATCTGGAACTTCACATTTCAACTGTTGGTTAAAATCTGTTAGTTGGGCATGGTGGTACATGCCTAGAGTCCCAACTACTCTAGAGGTTGAGGCAGGAGGATCACTTGAGCCCAGGCGTTTGAGGATGCAGTGCGCTATGACTGCACCTGTGAATTGCCACTGTGCTCCAGCCTGAGCAATAGCAAAATGACATATCTTAAAAGAAAAAAAAAAAAATCTATAGTCTAATGTTTTCCATTCCTAGATAAAATGCTTTCTGCTATTTGTGAATTATAGAAAAAGAGGAAATGGCAGGGAAGGTCAGTTCATTTTCAAACAGATGTGTGTGACAAGCTGGTAGAATGAGGTAATGAAGCTTTAAGAATCACATCTTCATTGGTTGTACAAGTGCTTAGCCAAAGAATTTAACTCCTGACTCCACTTGAAAGATGTTGAATATCTTTCCAACCTTTCCAATTCACTTCTTTTCTTCCCACAATACTGACCAAGAGACCATAAATAGACAGAAAAAGCAAGATGGAATGAGAAATCCATAAAAGAATCAATAAAAAGGTAGAAGTTAATTACATTCATATTCCTCTACCAAAGAAGAATATTTAAGCTGTTATATACAAATATACCTGCTCTTCTCTGTGACTCTTGTATGTACATGTGCATAAACTGAAGGCCAAATAATTCCCGTTCCTCTTCTTCATCTATGCTTTCACTGGGAGGGAGTGTTACTTCCAATTTCAGCGGGTTGTCTCTGAAGTTGACAAACCTAGCAGTTCACCAGAAAACAGTATGTTTATAGATGCAATAGAAGGGTATATTTATTCTTCTGGAGAAAAATCAAGTGATAATATACTAAATTACTCTTTTTTTAATGGGTTTCAATAACTGAACATCTTGGTGTAGGATGTGATATATCTCAAGAATCTTTTAAGTTTCTTTCCTAAAAGGAAAAAATATTAATGGCTTTAGACAACTTAACTTTCAAAGCTTGTAAAAGTAACTACTAACCCACAGCATATATTTAATTTGATCCAGTTTAACTTTTTTTTTTTTTTTTTTTTTTTGAGACAGAGTCTCACTTT